CAACAGCATTTTCCTCTACTGGTAAGCTAGATTTTATTCTGGCTTTTCTTTTGTTGGCAGAATTGTTGCATATGTTCTACCAAATATTTGCTTTGGTACACTAGGAAAAATCTTTCTTGAAATCTGGACACATAACTATTATCTGAGTGAGGGAAAATGCCTGTATTCCTGTTTTCTTACACAAAGAGAGCATGTTGTTAGAGGTGAGTGACGTTCCTGCTGCTAGCTCGTGCATGTAGAACTCTCACAGAACACACTGCTCAGCAGCAATTACAGCCCCACAGAAACTCTCATGGACATGCTTTTCCTCAGGAAATGAGCAGAGCCACAGTAGCATCCAAACATATGCAGTTTTACTTTTAAGTATCCAACATGCTATTAATTAGCTAATTTCTTGCACCACACTTGATTCTGAAACTGCAGCTTTCTCTGTGCCATGCAACATCTACAGCCTGCATCCAAACCCAAGGAATGTCCTGGTCCAGGGGCACCTCAGCTGCACGCACAACTGACAGTTGGGATAACTGAGACAGGCAAAGGGCAAAAGGGGAAAAGGCAGATGAGTATCTTGTCCAAGGCTGCAGAGCTGGCCGCTCACTTAGCTGCAATTAAAGGGGAGGCCCCAGCTCCTGCTGCTGCAGGACTCAGCAGAAAACACGGCCATACCCTTGCTCCAGCCCCTCCAGCTGTGTTGGTGTCACAGCACAGAAATGATGAGTCTTTATTGATAGCAGCAGGTTTTCATAGAGTCATAGAATAGTTAAGGTTGGAAAAGACAACTAAAACAATCTAGTCCAAATATGAACCTATTCCCACTGTGCCCACTAACCACATCCATCAGTGTTACAAGTTTCTCGAACACCTCCAGGGACGGTGGAACACCTCCCTGGGCAGTCTGTGCCAATGCAACACCACTCCTTCCAAGATGAAATTCTTCCTAATATCCAACCTGACCTCCCATGGCACAACTTGAGGCCATTATCTCTTGCCCTATCATTATTAAGCTCATTCTATCACTGAATTACAGGCAGGAGCTCAAGGATGCTTTCATAACCATTTTGAAATTTGGTTTTAAGAAATAAAGATGCATACTCAAAAATAGCTGCTCTGAAAAGACCTATTTTAGCCCACTGCCTGAGAAAGTTAATTACTTAATTTGATTATTGTCTGAAATTATTTTAAATTATTACCATTGTATAAATAAGCAAACAAAAACCAAGTAGAATACGATAAAAGCATAATTTAATAATTCTGTAATACGGGCAGACAATTGTTTTAATGAATGTTCAACTGCTTTTTGAGCCTGAAGCTAAGAATGAAAAGATAGCAATTTGCACATCAGATATTTCTGAAAAAAAAAGCTGTACAGTGTTTAACAAAACATTCTGTTTGTGTGTTGTTCTACATGGTTACAATAGTTATGACATATATTTGCCCTTTAACACAATTTACTTTACTGCTGTCAGTACTGTGGAGAGTTATTTCCTCAGAAATAACTTCAAAACCTCCTTAATAAAATAATGCAGTAATAGAGGTTTCTTTCCTTGGGAGACTACAAAACCGCTGATGCAGCTTGGAATGCTCTCATGCCTGTATTGCTGCTGATGGTGGTAAATAACCTCAGCTTCCTCAAAAAGTCTGCACCACATGCAGGCTGTGTACCAAGGCACTTCACTCCAGATTAATGTGCTGAAGGAGAGGCTGGGTGGGGCGATGGGCACCTGATCTACATGGTGGAGTTTGGCGGAGTTTAAGGTCCATTCCAACCTAAGCCATTCTGTGAGTATGAGATTCTATAAAATGACATGGTCGTTGCCTGCCATGTGAGTTTTAACAAAGAAAATTGGTGACTGTTGGATACATAGATTGTCACTTTGTGTAGACATAGCTCCGGCACCGAACGGGAATAAGCCCACCTTGTGAACCAATTCATTTTCATGCAGTTCCCAGCACAGTTTCTCAGTTTTAACTTCAAGGACTTAAAACTATATCCTGCTGCTCTACAATAAGTTTGTTGCCTACGTACCATGCTTTACCCAAATGGTTCTTTGCATTTGAAGAAGATGAAAGTGATTCCCAGGCTTGAAACCCAGATTATATTGGAGATGATAATGTGGTAAGGAAATAGAGGATGAATAAGAGATTTGGGTGAGGAGGAGAAGGCAGAAGGAGCTGCCAATGAGTCTCAGTGTGAAATTGGATTCAGCAAGATCAAGCACAGAAACCCAGTAACGAGCCTTCCACAAAGCTTTAGGCTACACGCAGAGCTCTGTGGTATTTTTAGGAAGAGAAATGTGATAAGAAAGATATTAAAACTTAGTGCTGCAGACGGAGGGCCAGGAAGCAAGCAATGTCACTGGCTTAGAAGAAGGATTTCGGAGACGTATGTAGAATACGTCATTCCAAAATAAGAGCAGGGTAAAGGAGGATGGACAGAGGTTGTAGGTGCCCAGTAAAAGATGACCTGAGTCTCTGATAGAGGTCTCTCTGGAAAGAACTATCAGTTTCAGAAAAGCATCCCACTTCTTTAGCCCTGATGACCACAGACAGCAAGTATGAGGTAAGCAGAGATGAAGTCCAAAAGGTTTTATTTGTTTAGGCAGAGCTTCCTTTGCTTGAAGCTTCAACATATCAGTACATTTGTCTTATCATTTTGGTGATGTGTCAATGGCTATATTCTCCTACTATGGGTACCAAATGAATGCATATTCCGAAAGGTATTTGTTGGAATTCCTGGATAAACTTTTGAGACACAGTGATATTTTGGAAGTTGTTTCCATAGTGCTAGACAAAAATAATGGTGCAGGCTGTTTTCAAACTACATTCTGCAACAATTAAACGAGGCACAGTCATTCTTCCTGATTTAATTAGGATGTTCCTAAGAAATTACTCTAAAGCAGGGCTTTTTCTATCCTATACCTTCTGTAGAACATCCATGACTCTTTTACCTCAGAAGATGAACTGAAACCCAAGGAGATAACTCTGTATTTTCCTTCTGGCTGAGGAAACTGATCTCGTAAGGACTAAAGACAAAAACTATCAGGGATACTTTCTTTCAAATACTGTAACTCAGACACGAGGAGGACTTTTTGAGATGAGCTATGCAGCTGTCATCTTCATCACCAGATAAGTTCATAGAATCATTAAGGTTGGAAAAGACCACTACAGTCATATAGTCCAAACATAAACCCACCTCCAACATGCTCACTAAGCCACATCTCTCAGTGCCACATCCACAGTTCTTGAACACCTCCAGGGACAGTGACTCCACCACCTCCCTGTGGGCAGCCTGTGCCAGTGCCTCACTACTCTTTCTGAGAAGCACTTCTTCCTAATATCCAATTTGAACCTTCCACAGCACAACCTAAGACCATTATCTCTTATCCTATTGCTAGTAATTTGCTGGAATTCCTGGCCCTACTGTAACCCATCCATGCTCAGAGCTGCAGGGGGAAGGCAAACTTAAGGTGTTCTCCACTCACAGGGAGGGCTCATCAAAGTTTTGCCATTACAGCTGTGCTGTTGTCACAAGCTTTTGTCTCAGATGGTTACTGATACTTTTTTGGTTAAAAAAAAAGGTGAAACCAGCAAGCCACTTCACAACTTCTGGAAACAGGACCATGTTCACAGTGGAAATGGTACTGGCTGAATGCATTTTGGAGTATGTAAGATGATTTATTGTATAGGAAGTATGCATATACAATAGTGAAAACTACAAATACTGGGAGGCAAGTAGTAAGAACCCAAATTGTTTTTTATTTTTTCAAAATAAATACAAGTGTTCAGTTGAAGATAATTTCCATAGTATTCAGAATACTTTTGCCATTGTAGGTAACATGTGAAATAATTAATAAAAAAAAAAAAAAAAAAAAAAAAAAAAGCATGATAAAAGAGAATGTTACAAAAACAACAACAACAACAACAACAAAAACCAACAAAGGTCCTACATCCAACAACCCAAGACTATGCTGCCAGTTACTTACAGCTATACATGGGAACAAATATTCAGATTTCCTCAGAGCTTTCAAGCACAATCCAGAGGAATGAGTGTTAATTACTCATCCTAAAAAAAAATAATAATAATAATTGTCTTTAGTAGAAGTAATTTTCATGAAGACTCTAGAATTGCAGTCCTGGGAAATTGAGTCCTGCTTTAGTTTGCTCAGAAAGTAATGCCTCCTAATGGTTTCCATGGAAACTATAACACAGCTACAAAGAGCACAGCAATACTATTTGATAGAGCAAACTCTCAGCTACAAAGTACGGTTTTGCAATACAGCCACTAGCATTAGTTCTGCATTTTTGTCACTGATGAACAGGAGTCTGCATACTGCGCTCATAAAAAAGTGCACAGTGGAGGTGACCCACTGTCACTACTAAAATGCACCACCACTCTGTGCTCACTGTTTGGCCTCCATCAATGTTCAGCAAGCATCAACAAATGTCAGTGGTACCACTGTTCTGCTATGAAGGAGTTCAATAACGTGCTTTTGTTTCATGTATACTTCTGTGTCAAACATGACAAAGCTCTTGCAACTCAACAGCATGGTGAGGAAAAGCCTTCTCTCCGCGGGCTGACTGACTTGGATCTGTTCTGTTTGCGCCGTTCTCTCTCACACCTCCCACACGACTCAGTTGGGATCGGTACCGCACTCACTGCCGCGCCCGATCACCACACGCACAGTGTTTACGCCTCAACCAGGGGCGGGACAGGGCGGCGCGTCACAGGGGACGGTGGGGCGGGGCGGGAGGCGCGGCCGGGCGCTGCCCCGCGGCTCAGGGGCGGCTGCCCGCGGCATGGGTCTTGCTCTCCGGCCGAGAGCCCGCGGGTGGCGGTGAAAGGAGCGGCCCCGCCGTGTCCGCGGCCTCGGAGAGAAGAGGCCGGGCGCCCGCGGGCGGGTTGTCGCCGGGGCTGCGAGCGGCGGGGCTCGGGACCCGGAAGCAGAAGCGAGACCGGGAGGCGGCTGGATGGGAAGAAGCGGCGGCGGCGGCGGGAGGCGATGGGGGAGCAGCAGAGCTCGCTGAGCGCCTCGCGGGCTGCCGCCGCCGCGCCGCCCAGCCCGGCCGGGGGCTCACGGGAGGACGGTCTGGAGGAGAGGCCGCCGCCACGGGAGGCGGCCGGGCCGGGAGAAGGTGGGGAGCCTCCGCCCTCCATTGGCTCCGAGAGACGAGGGGGCGGCGGGGACGCAGCGGGGGAGGACGAAGAGGAGGCGGCCGGGCCGGAGCCGCCGGGCGCGGGGGAATCGGCGGAGGAGGGGCTGGAGGGGGGCAGCGGTCGGCGCCGCCCGGCCCGACGGCACGTGTATTGCACCGTGTACTGCGTGGAGAACGACCGGCCGGGCCCCGGCTCCCCGCCCAGCTCCGGCAGCGCGCAGCCCCCGGCCCGGCGCGGGGTGGCGGCGGGCGGCGACCCGCTGTCAGCGGGCGGCAGCATCGAGGTGGTGGACTTGTACCTGCTGCCCGAACCCTTCTCCGGGCTGATCGGCGGCGACTTCGGGCCGCTGCTGGTGCTGAGCTGCCGAGTGTGTCTGGAAGAGAAACCCGTCAAGCCCCTGTCCTGTTGCAAGAAGGCGGTGTGCGAGGAGTGCCTCAAGCGGTACCTCAGCTCCCAGGTACGACCGGGCCCCGCGCCGCTCCCCGAAGGGATCGCTGGTGCCGCGGTACCCCTGAGCCCCTCGGGGAGCTGCTGGTTCCGGGTCGGGGATTAGGCGGTCGTTCCCCAGCCCCTCTCCGTGGGCTGATGGCGGCCCTGCTGCTCGCCCGGTGACGTGCTGCCTGTGGTGTTTGCACTGTGCGGGGCGGCGGGGCTGCTGTGCAGAGGGCTCTGTGATTAGCCTTGAGGAATCACAGTTGCAGCAGCAGCAACTCTGGGGAGAAAAGAGAACAGCTTTTGCGAACTTAGAGTGACCAACTTACAGCCTGCTGCTTCATCACTGCTTTGTCAGTCAGGCTGCAGTTTCGAAGAGAAATCGGGAGCCTGAAAGCTAACCAGCCTTGCTTAGTGATGCTGGTAGCTGATTTAGCATCACAAACCACTTCTGTATGGCTCCTACCAGTGATGTAGGTATGTCCTAAGCCCAAAGAGCCAGGCAGATGCTGGGTATGTGAGAATATCAAAACCAAGCAAAACTCTTTGCTGACCACCCTTACATATGCATTCAGCAGAGGCATGGGAGACGTACTCGCCAGAGAAGTACTGGTGGGATGTATTTTTGCACCTGCTGGCCCTAGAAGCTGTGTTACAGTGGTCTGTGCTCCACTGGGCTGTGTGCCTGGGAATGGCTTCACAGCTCCCGCAAGCGCTATAAATAGGTGTGGGGCTCCTCCAACCAGGCCATTTCACGGCTTGGGACTTGCACGTGCTCCTATCTGGGCACTTGCAAGTCTATGCAGCAGTTACTCGTGCTGGTAGTATTTGTTCTGGCTAATGGTACACTCACTGAGGTTTTTACAGAGCACTTTTATTGTGTTTAGATAACAGGGAAGGGCTTAATGTGGGAACTGATGGGATGAGTGGAATAGGGCTATGTTTTTATGTGTTCCCCAACACTGAAATTTGGGAACACCTTATAAGATTTCTTGCATAGAACCCAGAATGTTTTGGTTTGGCATGTAACTAACTGATGAACTCAAAGTCTAGAAAGTTTTCAGAATTCATTGCTAGTATGTGTTTGAGCCATCTTCATGTTTGCCACCAAGGCCACACGGGTCAGGATACTGTCTTACCTTGGAGATCACAAAGCAGTGTGATAGACATCAGGTGTTTTTCCTTAGCATCTGTAACCTGTGCTTCAAGACAATGGTTTGTGGTAGCTTTTCATTATTAAAACAGGTAGTAAAATGCGTTGGGGAATGACCAAGTAGGGAGCTCAGTCATCATCCTAAGAATGCTCTCTGATCATTGGAGGTATTCAAAGTTGGGTTGTGTGGGTGGGGCTTTGTGCAACCTGATCTAGCGAAAGATGTCCCTGCCATTGGCAGGGTTGCATTCAAATACTGAATTCAATTGGCTAATCCTCTTCTTCAGTGAATAGAAAGGTGTTTTTGTGGCATAATTTGTCTAAAATAGTTGAAATGGCCATAGATATTTTCTCCTATTTGTTTCCTTTGAGTAAGAAGGGATGTAGGATCCCACAGTAAGATTTATCAGAGTGAGATTCTGCCCCAAACACTTAATAGTACTAGTTAGTTGTGAGCTAAGGCAATAGAGAATCTCTTGCAGCAACTAGCAGTTGCTAGATTTGCATGATCTGTCAGCTAAAGCTATACCTAAGAACAGTTCTGCCTGATTTCAGCTCAGCAATTCAAGGATGATTGCATGGTTTGGTGTTTGCAAGAACTACCTGGCTTGGGATCTGGGTGAAAACCCCATAAAGCAAGTTTAGAATCATAGAATCACAAGGTTGGAAACAACCTGCAAGATCATCTAGTCCAACTGTCCTCCCATTACCATTGCTACCACAAGCTTCTAACCCATATCTCGTAGCACCTCATCCAGCTGCCTCTTGAACACTGCTGGGGAGAGCAACTCCACTACCTCCCTGGGCAGGCCATTCCAGTGCCTGGAATGTGAGGATGTTCTTTGCGATGAAGCCACTGGTATTGCTGAGCACTCTATAAAGCTTAGTCCAGAAGCTATTAAAAGATCTACGTGGCAGATAGCCATATTGATGCTTGTATACATAAAAGATGAAACAGGGATACAGATGCAGATAAAGGAATATTTGCAATACTGCTACTGATATTGAGAACAGAGATTCACAAAGCACTTCTGCAGAGACGGACTCTTACCCATCCTGTTATGACCAGGATTTAGGATTCCTGTTATGAGCAGGATTTTAGTTGAGTGATGTATTTGTTCAGGAGAAAAAGGCAACAAAACATCCTCTAAAGCAGTCCAGTGTGTTCTTAGCATATCTGTCTTTTTGGGAAAAACAAGTGATGTTTCTTTGGGAAGAACAAGAAGTGACGTTTTTCTCCTTTGTGCTGTAGAAGGCTCATGTGACTCATCCTCAGTGGAGAGGAAAAGCCTTCTCCTTGCCTGCTCTGTCAGAGGAATTTGAGTGGAAGGACAGTATAGGATAAAGTCACCTTTTAGTCTTCTGAGTTTTAGCACTTCATGTAGTGATTTCCTTCATAAAAAGAAAACCTACCAAAAAGTTTGAAAGGAGTAAATGTTGGAAAGCTGACTCTTTTTTGCAAAATCGTAACAGATTTTTGGTTTGGATACAGTCAGCTTTATGTAGGAATGCACCTGAAATTGGGAGGGGGAGCAGAGGGAGAAGGAAAAAAATGGATGTGCATTTAGATCTTGTTTCTGTGTCAGAGAAATAGCAAGCTGTACCCTGTGTTTAAGTGGAGACTGACCTCAGGTTTCTGGAGAGGGATTGGTTTTTATACCTTGAATATGTGGAACATATTGTCAGAAATGTAACACATGGAAGAAGATCTTTAACATAAGTATTTGTTTTCCCCCTGAAGAAAACTGGAGTCTGTATAATGATTTCATCATGATTGCTGAAGTGGTGTCTAATGGAATAGCAAAAACCCTGCTAATGATCTCTGCTGTATATAACTGCATTAAAACTTCTGCCCTAGAGCACTATAGATTTTAAAAAAAGTCAAGCAAAGTGTTGGGCGTTGTTGAGATGAGTATCCATATGAAAATGTAGAATTATCTTGTTTTACTGGTGGGGGGGAATGGGAGCAATGTGCTTCAGAAGGTCCTTAGAGGTCAAATCCAGTCTCTTATCACTGGCACCTGGCTGCATAATCCCTATCAAAGATTTAACACCTGGTATAGAAGCTTAGAAGGTGAGCCTGGAGCTCCAGATCTGAAGCCTGACTGTACTACAGTAAAAGACGTTATTTTACCTCTGCCTCAATTCAGATGTTCTTTTTCTGGGCCTTACACTCTTGGCTTTTAAAGGTCTAAGACCTATTTATCTATCATTCACAAAAAGGGAAGGGAAAAAAAGACTATTCTCTTGGACTCAGAGAAATTGAAGAAGGAGTAGGTACGTGAGCTGTTACGAAGAGGATCCTAGCTGTTGTACCTTAGGACACAGAGTATGACTGTGGGTCCTACAGCTCCTGGTCAGGGTCTTAAGATGATCTATCTCCAGGATGGGATGCAGCCCAAAGCTGTTCTCTGTTGATGCTTGGTTGAGCAGCAGTGTTAGAGATGGCTATGCTCTTTCAAGACTGATGCTCACAGAGGCAGTTTCCTTGAGCACTCAGGAGAATGCCTAGTTAGGTGGAAGGTGAAAAGGTGAATAGAGTGCTTCTCTTTCAGGAGGGAGCTGTGTGTTTCTACACTCACACATACCGCTTATAGCCCAGGAAGTATGGGAATCACTGGATCCCACAAGTGTAATATTGCATTCACATGTTCTTCACTTTGCCCCTTCCTCTCCATTTAGCCTCATAACAGACTTGGTTTATTCCAGAAGCTGCATCCACACAGGTTTGCTGTAGATGAGTGATTCACTTCCTCATCTCTCTTTATTGCTTGTAAATCTGAGTCAGAGGGAATACTTGTGCCTGGTTTTGCTTTTTGTGTGTGTGTCTGGGTGGGAGGTGGTTCAGAAGTACCCTGTACAAATGAGCAAACAGCCATGGGAAGAAATTTTGCTGCAGAGGGAGAAACTTACAGTTTAACTGGGGATTTATATTTAACTTATCCTCTCTACCAGGCCAGGGTAAGGTTTGTATGTTTTTCTCATCTCTCTAATTTATAAACCTGTAAGTACTGTTCAGAATAACAATCTCACTCCTCACTTTTCAGTAAGTAAAGAGTAGACCAAAATAACACTTCCTCTTTCCTAATATCTAAAAAAGATATATATTGCTTAAAGTATTTATTAGGGAACATACAATTGTATCCTTTCTTGTAAAGTAGCTGTACATGTTTCATAGAAACCTTTGTGATTTGGCTGCCTGCTTTTCTACCTCTGAACTGGAGAACTAGATAATCCAGTTTTGATCGTATGCTCATTAGTGATGTTTTATTTTGTAAATCTTGTAATTCTCTTGCAGTGGTAATTTCTTACATTAAAGGACTTTGAATTAATTTAAACAACGTGCTGTATTCTCAGTCAGATATTGTGGTGCTTTAATTACAGGAATGCTAATCAGATTAGTGGATGTGGATAATCAGAAGGGGTTGTTGGGGCGGGGAGGAGTTGCAGCTGGCAATGCTTGGTGTCTGACTGGCTTTGGTGGGACAAGAGTCCTACTTAGCTATTCTGAGCCTGAAATGAGGAGATTATTGTCCCTCTATCTGGGATCTGTTACCAGTTTTCCTTTGTGACTTGAGATCTTGTGTTCAACCCTTTTCTTTTTCAGTGTGTGATCTTTTTGAAAGATGCAAGGGGAGAAGAAAGCAGCAGAATGTTACAATCAGGATTTTTGTGGAAAGAGTAAGATTATGAAGTCATGCCAGCAGTAAGGAAAAGTCAGGAACAGGCTGTGTTGCCCAGAACTAGTAGTGGTTTGGAGAAAGAGGGACTTGATACCTGTGTACCTCTTCAGGTATCTGATTGTATCATGCAAATGATAGCCTTCAAAGCTGTAGTTTGGCTGCTGAAGGAAACCAGGCAGCAACATAGCC